TAATTGATTTTTTTTATTTTTTATATCTTGATTTGATTTATTTATATCATTTTATATACTAAATTGATTATTTTTTTAAATTTTTATCAATTTATAATCATATCATCCCGATCTCATGTGTAACCATTTTACTAAATGTTTCGCTCCATGACACACACAATCAGAGCACCATAACATTATAATTTTGCAATTTTAGAAACGAACTACACGTAGCATAGGCCACTGGCAACACTGGAAAACATATTTTTATGCCCTATGAATTCATTTTGAGCAGATCTCGTATGGCACGGCCGGCTTCCCTCTTCATTTCTCGAAAAACGTATTTTTATCTTTTTTTATATTTGCATTCGCTCTTAAGTTTTTTAAGTTTTTGCTGTTTATGATTTACCTAAGTTAGTTAAGGTAATTTTGGGTTGTAAATCAGTTGAAGGAAAGTAGGGATTTTAGTTAATTAAGGAGGTAGAGTAAAAGTGAAGGGAGCTTCGCCAAATGCCAATGTTCTTCACTGTTAGGTGATTGTCGAACAAACCAATTATTTGAGAGGACTTTCATCGTAAATTTCTCATCCCTATGGCATAGGATTCTCAGATGAGGTTCCAGTCTCAATACCCCATCATCAGGCAATAAAACCAGAATTAAAAAGGTTAACTACTTTTGATGTAATCCAGTCATGTGCCCATAAGATCACAGGATTAAAGATCATATGGGCGAGTTAGCTGGAATTACAGAAAGTAATAGTTACACTACTTTCCTTCTTTTAATGTTGCAAACGAAGAAATTGCCTCAAAACATCAAAGGTTTAGGGACAGAGTGCGTTTGCTAGCTTAGCTTGAAGGAAACAAAAACCAAACAAAATCAGGAAGATGTGAAGTGATGTGCCAGCAGGTTAAGGGCCTGGAAAATCAGAGAAGAAATCAGATCCAGGCGAGTGATACTGGCTGAGTTATCGTCTCTATCGCAAGTTTTGTGATAATAAACTGCCTGGATCGTTTTGTTTCGAAACCCAGGCAAGAAGCTGACTTGCTTTCCTATTTCCTTTTCAATTGGATAATATTTCAGTAAAGCAGTAGCAGAAGAGAAAACATGGCTTACCGTACCATAGAATCAGGTAGAAACTGATGATGCAGGAGGCGGAGCGGGGTTGAGCTGTGCAGCAGCAGGAGTATTTATAGAGATGGAGAAGATCAGAAATTAGGGTTTCAAGGATGAAAATTGGGTTTGTGCTACTTTCTTGAGTGGGCCGATAATAGTCATAAGGCCCAACACTTCATAAAGCTGCGTCCTGAACTTCAGTCTTCTAGTTTCAAAGCATTCCGAAACACTTTTCAAAATATTAGATAATTTTTAAAATTAATAAAATACAACTATATAATTATTAATTTGATGCTTTGATTAAAAACTATCATATACATTGATTATTTTTTTGTTCTTGGATAAACCCTCTCAATTTATGAACGCTAATTACAAAATCAAAATTATTAGGGAAAAGCGATCGTATATATTCTTTTGATTTATTATTGATTATAACAATAAAATTATAATTTTTCTCTTTAAAAAAATCAAATGAATTAGACTTAAATAGCAAGAGGTTTTTTTCATGAGGTTTTTTTTTATCATTTCTCTATATTTGGGGCAGCATTATTTTTTTAAAATATTTTGTAATAATTAAATTATTGTATTACCTTTGGGTCTTGGGGTTTTATAGCAATTTTATTTTACAAACAAACAATGTAATGATTTCATTACCTTTGCCATCAAAACTTTTTAGCATTAACTTAAGGGGATTAATAGTATTTTTATAAATATTATTATTATTATTATTATTATTATTATTATTATTATTATCATTTAATCTTATGGGTGGTTTTATCTTTGTAAAAATAAAATAAGATAAAAAATTATTGATATATGTATTACATGCATCAACCCCCTTCAAGTGGCACATACAGTTAATTTTAGTGGTCACAGTCATGCTATTGCCACATCTTCATTCTTTTTAAGTTGTGCATGCATGATGATTTGTTCTAGTTTTATGCTAGTTCACTTTTCTTTTTCTTTTTTCCTTTTCTTTTTTTTTTATGTCCTCCACCTCAATTTTTCCATTGCCCCTAAAAATCACATTAGCCCTTCAATTGCTTTCCTTTTTAGATTTAGTCATTGTTCTTTTAATTGTAATTTTTTATTTAAAAAATTTATTTTAAATTAAAAATTATTTTTAATTTCATTCTTCTTAAAAAAATTTCATCTCTTTTAATTGCTATTTTTTATTTGAGCTAATTTATAAATTTGATTTTTTTTTATGATTTCATCTTTTTTTTTATCAGGTTTGATTCTCATTCTTTTGTTTCTATTTTCTTTACTTTGACAAGGATCTCAATTCTTTCATAAGGAATTGGTCTTCTTGATTAAGCCTGGATTTAAGATTTTATAGGTTATGATTGTAGAATATTAATCCAAGTTTAAGAAATTAATTGGGGGTTGTTTTGTTTTTCATGTTATTAAATTAGGATTTTTTTTATATTATTAAATTAACCAAACATATTCTTTGCTTCTTTAAAAATCCTAGAGTTGCCTTGATATTTTTCTTCTTATATCTGGAAAAATTTGCCCCCGCGCATATTGTTGTTTTTGTCGTCGATATAGATTTACTCAAGTTAATTTTTTTTATTTTTTTATTTTTTATTTTTTTATTTGATTTTGACCTTTAATATTTGATTCATTATAATTGGGCAATCTAATGTGTCGATGACTCAATGTTTTTTTGGTAGAAAATATATTATCTAACATGTCACCATTTAAGCATTTTAAAAGTGTTTTGGCTAGCATGCAACAAAATTTTTACTTTTTATTATCATTATAATTTTGTTAATGTTGAAAAATCTATTTAGTCAAATGTGTAGCAGGAATTCAAAAAATAATTAAATACTAAAGTGAGAAATTAATTTTCTTGATAAGAGTGAAAAAATGTACAAATATAAATATCTTACCTCAACTTTAAATAGAGATCTACAATGATTGATATGTACAATGATTTTTGTCCTAATAAATGTATAACGCAAATAAAACTAATTTATCTTAATTTAATAAAAATAAAATTTAAAATAAACTAACAACTATCCAACAAATTTATTACTATTTAAGAAATATTTAAACTAAACAATTAAGAGGTGATATTAATTAAAAATAAAATTAAAAAAAACCTTGGTGTTGCGAGGCCATGTTCAAAACCTATTCTAGTGTAAAAAATATATTTTTTGAGTCTAAATTTCATTTTTTTCCTAAAAAACATGCCTTTTATCATAAACAAAACTTCTATATAAAAACCTATTATAGCTTCAATGAAAAGCCAAAAAAAAAAATCGAGCCTTTATATTTTTTATTGAACTTTATGAAAAAGAAAAATAATGATTAATTTTGATATATATATATAATAACAAAATAGATATTTTCTTCTCCTTGAATATCCCTTAGAATTTTTCTTTTTAAGAAAAGTATGCATATTAGATTCATAAATAATTATTTATTCAATAATTTCTAATATTGCCACAAAATGCTACAATCTTGTTTAATAGTTATGTCAAAACCCATAATCTTTTAAATATTATTTTTATAATTTTATTTAAAGAATGAATAAATAATAATTAAAAAAATAAAAGGTGATGGGCCAAAGTTCCTTTTAAAAAAATATATATTATTAGGCTAGAAAGATTAAGCATGTGTATATGGCCTAAAAGCAAAAGGACCATTGGTGTTTGAACTTGAATGCTAGGTGCGAACCCCAAGAAATAAATATTTGCATAAATTATAAACTAAATAAATAAAAAATAAAAATGAAGAAATTCAAGTACAAATTTAAATAAGACACGGATTTAGAAATTTTTAGATATAAATTTTTAGACGAAATATTTCAAGATATTATAAAATTTAACCTGGAAATATTAAGAGCTAGATTAAATTAAAGAAAATGAACAAAACTAAAAAGTTGAGGGGTGGAATTATAAGGAAAAAAAGAAGTATAGCTTAATTATAAGAAGAAAAGATGTAGGGAGAAATAATACACTTAGAGGAAATAAGACCTAAATGTGATTAAGAAAAATTATGGGATATAACACCCCTCTTCCTTGCTCATCAAAATCGACAACAACTATTAAGAAAGAGTGAGTGAGTGAGTTTTTGAATTTATTCTTACCAAGCCAAGAGAAAAACACTAAAATTCCAAGAACTCATCTAAGGTTAAAAGTTTATAGGTAAAGTAAACATTTGTGGGTAAGAGATTAACAACAAAATTTGAACAAAAAAAGAGGAGGGAGGGCCGATTGCCATTAGAAAAGGGGAAAGTAAAATTTTTTTGACTAGTTGAAGATGTTGACCCTGATTCTCTTAGTAAGGAGCTCTAAACATGATCTTATAAGTCGTTTCAAATTTGATTACGAATTGATGCATTAATGTTGAATTTTAGATTAGGTTTTTTAGACTTGATATGGGAAATGTATTAATTGTTAAAATTAAGTAAATTCATGTGTTGTATATGATTAGGGGTATGCAATTATGATCATTTATCAAAGAAAATGCATAGGTAATTAAGTAAGGGGTGGCTGGCCATATGAAGAGAAAAGAGGGAAAGATAAATTATGGACGTGGTGTGTAATGGAAAGGTTAACGAATCTGGAAAGATTCATCTCCTGACTTTTAGAGAGAATTCGAGTAGAAAGATAAGGGAATTACAATCAGGTTCCTTTATAAAAATTATAGTTTTGAATGTTTACTAACCAAGAAAGTTGGTCATGCTCAATTTAAAGTTATAGAACTCTAATTATGGGTCACCAATTTAGACTGGTCATGATAGACCCTGTAAAGCAGTAGGTTTGATTCATTAATGAGTAATTTTGAATGTCTTTGGGGAAGAATTGGGTTCTTTTCCCTTTAATGGACTTGTGGCCCCATGTTATAGCTTTTTAAAATGACTAGCCTCGCTTGAAATGGAGTACTAGAACTCCAGAAATAGTAAAAAACCTAAGGAGAATTTGGAATACTACTTTTATTGGCAGATTTGAAAAGTCATTAAAGCGACTATCTAGATGCGTTAAGGGTAAAAATTAGGTATTTTCACTTTGGGGAACATGTGATGTTGCATTTTAATTTCCAAAAGAAATGAGTCATATTCAAAATAGAAATTTATAATGTTAACTATGGTCGAACAAAGAATGGCGATATTAATGGATGAAATGAGAGAACATAAAATATAAAGAAACGAATAATTGAAAGAAAGACCTATATTGACTGTTAATATGATTATTATAAAATGTATCCTTGAATGAGGATAATTTATGAGATATGCTTATGATTATTTGGAGGGACCACAAACATTATGCAGTAGCAGTAAGGGAGCACAAATAGAGCTTCTACTGCAGGTAGGTGATCCACACCTATTCTTTCTAGTTAAATTCCATGATTTAATATGTTATTAATATGAAATATGAATTAACGAATGTTAGATAATAAATGAAAGGATGAAAGTTTGTGCAATGATGTTGATATTTTGGATAGTATTCCGAATGTATATGTATCACGGTGAATAGTTCTTGTGTGAATTGTCGTGTTGAAATTATCGCTGACAAAGGGAATAATTGAAGTGGAATATGTGGTATGGACTCACATACATTTAATGCATATTAGGATCCCGGGTAAGGGGATCATCATGTTTTGATTAACATACATTTAGTGTATGTTAGGATTCCTTGTAAGGATATCACCATACATCAATGAGCACACATTTAGTGTATGTTAGGATCCTGAGTATAGGGATCACCATGTTTCAACTACCATATATTTCATGTATATTAGAGTCCTGGATAAGGGAATCGTCATGCATTGACTAACATATATTTAGTGCATGTTAGGGTCTCGGGTAAGATGATCGTTATGTATCGACACCTATAGGGAAATGATGATTCCAGTGAAATTGGTATCGATAATATGTTAGGTGACATGACCAAAAGATTAATGTCTTCTCCCAAATATAGGAGTGTCGAAATAATAAATAACCCGGCAAGACCGAGGTCGAATCACAAAGAGGTTAATTGTATAAATTATAGATAACAACAACAACAACAACAACAACAATAACAACAATAATAATAATA